CAGTCACTTTCTGCATTCAAAAGATTATTTTAACATGAAATAACACACTTCAGTTTTAACATCTTTAATATACTTAACGCTAAATGAGGATTAATATATAGCCATATGCTCAATATCTTAAATATAATTTTAAAAAGTTTTTTTTGCTACTTGTCAAACATATAGATGAATGCATTGGAGATATTGATTTGGAATGTTTTATTATGTGAGAAGAAATAAATATGACACTGGCCAAGCTTTAAGTATGTGTATGTATTTACAATACTGTTAAAAAAAAAAAAAAGTGGGGTCAATAAGATGTATTTTTAAAGAAAATAATATTTTTATTCAGCAAGGATGCACTGAAATTCTACTTCACATAAATGCTGTTCATTTGAACTTTCTATTCATCAAAGAATCCTAAAAAAAATAAAGTAAACAAATATCAACGATATCATCAGCTGCTTAGTAAGAAATGTTTCTTGATCAGCATATTAGAATGATTTCTGAAGGATCATGTGACACTGAAGACTGGAGTAATGATGCTGAAAATTCAGCTTTGCATCACAGGAATAAATTACGTTTTACAATATATTACAATAGAAAGCAGTTCAATTAAATTGCAATAATATTTCACAATATTACTGTATTTGTGATCAAATAAATGCAACCTTGGTGAGCAGAAGAGACTTGTGAAAAAACATTAAAAAAAAAAAATCTTACAGACCTTAACCTTTTGAACAGTAGTGTATAGCCATGCAAGTTTAATCTCTTTTTTTTTTTCATATCATTGCATATCATTTTACAGTTTAACAAATATCTGCCTGCAAAACTCTGCAAATCACATTCAAGTATTCCAAAGATCTGTTTAATAACATTTTATAAAGGTTTTATGGTATCACCAAAGCAGGATTATGTTAGGAAGTAGCTAACTTTTTGTGTGTGTGTGTGTGTGTGTGTGTGACAAAATATCCCCAAATGGACAGTAATACCCAAAATTTTTCATCTTGTGGGGACATTTTTTTTGTCCCCATGAGGAAAATATCTTATAAATAATATTAAAAATGCAGAAAGTTTTCTGTGCGAGTTGTGTTTAGGGTTAGGAGATAAGAATACACAGTTTGTACAGTATAAAAATCATTATAGCTGCGTCCCAAATGACGCACTTATACACTATGTACTTATGCACTATGTACTCAACCATGTATAGTATGAATTATATAAGGTTATTTTGTCATTCATAATCGGAGTCTGATAGCCCCTCCCCCTTCGCTATGTAATCAAAGATGCGACAGTTGAGTGCATGAAGTGTCCAACATTCCACTCTTAGTTTTTTCGGTTATTTATGTGCATCATCCGGGTATTTAAAGTGCACTTTTTGGAATTTTCAGTGTGAATGCACTACTCGCACTATTTATACTACAAAACGTCACAGAATAGTGCATAAGTACGCAATTTGGGACACACCTATTGTCTATGGAACGTCCATACGTGTGTGTGTGTGTGTGAGAGAGAGAGAGAGAGAGAGAGAGCTGGACAGCTGAATGGCTAAAATAGAGTTTTGAGGAGCAGCTGTCAAACAGTCCCTCCCTCCCCCTCCAATTCTCTCTCCTTCCCCTCCCCCTCCTCAATCCCATCATTCCCTCCACCTCTGTGTGACCGTGAAACCCCCCACCCCTCCATCTGTCTGTTATGTCCCTCACTGAATCCACACTCTGAGTCCACTCTCATTAACACCTGTCATTAGGGCCAGTCCACCTCATTTTGCAAAGTAGATCCAAGTTCTTTTCTGTGAATAATTTAATGTGAATGCAGGTAAAACCATTTGCACTACACATTCAATTATTTAATAGGTTTATTAAATAATTATGGTAATAAATTAAAATATATGATATGATAACAAATACCAGTTTGCAATATCAAGCAGCATAACAGACTGTTTTTGTATGGAAGTCCATGTAGGAAAAACAAATGCTTTGGCAAGTCAAAATTATGACTTTAAAACTTATAGTTATGACATTCTATGTCGTAATTATGACAAGTCATAATTGTGAGGGAAAGAAGACACATGACATACTAAGTCATAAATATGAAGTAAAAAAAGTTGAAATTATCACATGCTAAGTCATAATTGACATAGTAAGTTTTTATGAGATAAGTCAAAATTACTTATGAGATAAAAAGTTTAAATTGTGGCATACTAAGTCAAAATGATAATATGCTAAGTCAATTATGACAGTCAAAATTATGAGAAAGGCAAAATGGCTGATTTTTAATCTCATAATTATGATTTAGTATGTCATAATTTAGATTTCTCCATCTAATAATTACTAATCTAATAATTACATAAATACTTTTATGGCATAATTTAGATTTTATCTTATGATTTCAACTTGTCATAATTTCTACTTTTTATCTCATAAAAATGTACTGTCATAATTTTGACTTTAAAAGTCGTTTTCTACTTCTAAAGTCATAATTTCTACTTTTTATGTCATAATTTCGATTTAGTATGTCATCACTTTGATTTATCTCATAATTATGACTTACTATGTCATAATTTTGACTTTATACAATTATATATACAATTATGAGCTAAAACCTCTTAAACCAGCTAGTTAGGTCGTATATTTCCCCTCAAAGAAAACACGGCTAATCCTGAGGGAATGGAATCCGTTAGATCCGTGGTAATCCAGATAAAGAACGAGTCCTAGCAGCCGTAATGCAGGCCGTTAGATCCAGCCGGTGTCACGGTGTAAGAATCGTCACCTGGCTTCAGTTAAATTAAAACACAGGTAATATTCTCTAATGCAGGACATCCATCAGAACGACCTCTGGTTCTGCTTCATGTCCCGCTGATAAGATAATACACCACATCACTAACCCTTACAAACATTTACCATGGTAACCACAGTTATACCAAATTGCCATTGTTACACCAGATATTATTTCTACTGTAAAAAATGTACATGTTGAATGTAAAAGTTACATTTAGAATTTTAAAATTAGCTTTTAGAATTTGTATTGGTTTACTGTTATTTTGTTTATTTTTATTTAGTTTTTATTTATTTATTTTAATTTGATTTATTTTGTCTCAGTTTTTCTGTATTAACAATAACAGTGTTTTTTATATTAAAATTTATATATTTTATATTATATATTTTCATTATTTCTAATTTTTTAATTTAAATTTATTATTTTGTATTTTTATTTATTATTTTCGTGTTTTACTGATGACTAACATTAAATTATAACAGTTTTTCTGTAGTAACACTAACTGTATTTTTTTATTTAGTTATTTTTATTTATATTATTATATTATTATTTTATTAATTTCTTATTATTCTTTTCATGTTTTATTGATGACTAACAGTGACAAGTTTTTCTGTAATAACAATAACTGCAATAAATATGGTATTTTAGCAGAATCTATTGTTGCCATGGTGATATTTAGCAAACTGTTCATGTGTGTGTTTCTCATGTTTAGAATGGAATACTAATGTACTGAATACTGCATTTATGCTGAATACTGGATACTGTTTAAAAAATATATGCAAAAAAAAAACATTTAATGTACTTCTGAATAGATTTATAAATGATTTTACACAACTTTTGCTTGCTTCCTGAATCAGGCTAAATACGTGAAACTTTCACATTTTAAAAAGCCGCATACTAGGATTGGCATCCGGTTATTATCTTAAATGTTTATTTTGCATATTGAGCACAGCATTCTGGACCATAGCCTTTGTCTTTTTCACACAATGTCGCTAATCTCTGATGGATTGTGTGGACTCTCTCTCTCTCTCTCTCTCTCTCTCTATCTATCTATGTATCTATATATAAAATACATATTATATTTTAAATGCCTTTCTTTAAATGCATTCAGTTATAGTTTAAATTTTCTTAGTGATAAAAAACGACCTCAGCTTATGCTTAAAACTATAGGGAGCCCTTTTACATTATACGGTTACAATTAGGCCTAACAACTTAACCCAAACTTAAATTTAATTGCTATTTATTT